GAGAGAGAGAGAGAGAGAGAGAGAGAGAGAGAGAGAGAGAGAGAGAGAGGAGATTCCAGGCAGGGTGGCTGGGCCAGAGTCCTATAAGTCCTCCTGTCTGACCATGCCAGGTATTACCTTTAAGTCTTGGATCATGTGAGGGCCAGGAGGTTTAAGGAGAGGGGCCAGCTGGGGGATGGGGCAGCCAGTATTGACTGGATTGAGGAGGGGCTGACCACTGCTTACCATCTCCCCAGGTGGAGGGGACAGAGTGCCTGTCCCTTGGAGGCCATCTGCATAGATGGGGGGGGCTCTCCCTGTTCCTGATTTGCAGTGATGTCCTTATTTCTGCCTCTGTGACTCCCACCTTCCCTTCCCCAACCTGTAGGCACGCACTCTACCCATCCCAGTGAAGGTACTACGGCCCTCTACCACAGACCAACGCCAGACAGACACTCCCAGATGGATGACAACCACAACCCAAAGCCACCTGGTCAGTAACTACCTTTCCAGACTGGAAACATCAGTTTCCCAGGTTCTGTGCATTCCCAGCACCTGGAATGTCCCCAGCCCAGAGCCATTTGAAGGACCGGTATGTTGAGAGAATGAATAACATCTTGTTTGGGAAAAGAAGAGTGCACAATAATATCTGAGTAGATGTAAATGCTACATACAAGCCATAACAAAACTCAGAGGCTTAAAAGTGTCATTGTTTATTTAGCTTTTAATTCCACCATGTGAAATGTAGGTTGTGCTCAGCTGGGTGGTTCTGCTGGTTGGTTCTTCTGGGTGCAGCTGGGTAAGGTCAGCTGTGGGTAGTGGGCCTCTGTTTCAAGGCACCTGGTTCTTTCAATAGAGACCTAGTCCCACATTTCCAGCCAACCATGCATGAAGGGAATGCTATGCATACAGGTAACAAAAGGAGTCCATTCACCTGTTCGTTCAACTCTTTGAGCATCCAGGTATGGTGGCACACACCTGTAATCCCAGCACTCTCAGAGGCTGAGGCAGGAGATCACAATTTAAGCCCAGCCTAGGAAATTTAGAGACTTAGCAGCCCCTGTCTCAAAATAAAAAATAAAAATGTACCTCAATGGTAAGGTACTGAGGGCTGATCAGACCCTTAGCTACCTTTTGGGGAGAATGACAAGGAATCAAAAGAAAGAGACAGAGACAGTTTTCAAGATATAAAGCGGGGGACCAGAAGGAGACTTGCCTCTAGTGGACAGACTCAAATGAAACTCCGTGGTTGGCCCTCTTTTATTAACCAGTGAGAAGCGCAGTAGGAGGGGGAAATGCATTTCATGGAACAGTAACTATAGGGAATGGGTAGTTAAGGGTTAAGTTAATGAGGAACCAGATTTTCTCTACACTCAAATGCCTGTATATTGACAGCTGTCCTCAGCAGATGCTGTCTTGCCTCAGGAGTGCCAGGTCATTGGCATTCTGTCCATAGGCAGGGGGTTTGTGGCCTTCTACATACTTCCTGGTTCCTGAGACTGTGAGATCTGAATTACATAGCCTAGTCCCCAACAGGAAGGTCCTGTGTTCGATCCCTAGTATTGCAAAAAACAAAACAAACAAACAAACAAAACCACTGAGTGCCTTGTGTGTGCCAGGCACTGATTTAGGTGCGAGAGATATAGCCATGACCAAGAAAGACAAAGTCTCTGCATCCAAGAACCTGACACTTTAGTGGGTGGAGAAAGACAACAAATAATAATTATGATAATTATATACCAGGTGGTTTTAACTTGCTATCAAGAAAAATGAAGCAGGGTTAGGGTTAGAGGGTAACAGGGGAGTATTTCATGTTCAGGAGCAGAGGAGGCCTTGCTTTGAAGAAGTGAAGGAAGGAGTCATGTGGATGTCTAGGGAAAGACCATTCTGGGCAGAGGGAGCAGACAGTGCAAAGGCCCTGAGGTTAGAAGGTGTCTGGCATGCTCAACAGCAGGGAGGCCTATGGGGCTTTAGTGTGGTCAGTAGTAGAGAGAGTGAGGAAATGAGGTTAGAGAGGTGATGGGGGCAGACTGTGTGCTGCAGTAAGGACCTTGTGTTTGGTTCTAAGGATAGAAAGGCTGAAACCCAGATGTCCCTACTTCCTGAATCTGCCATCCACTCCTTCACTGCACAGACCTCTGCTGACTCTGCCTTGTGGCTTGTCTTTCTTTCCAGGTCCAGATGAGGACAGCCCCTTTTACTATGGTGAGTTACCCATGGGAGGAGAAAGGGAGGAAAGGTCAAGGCTTCTCTCACCCTCCCTCCATGTCTCTCTCTGCAGATGAGCCCACTCTCCGGAAACAGGGGCTGCTGGTGGCGGCTGTGCTGTTCATCACAGGCATCGTCATCCTCACCAGTAAGAATGGGATTAGGGGGAAGGGCACCAAGTCCCAGAGGGGCCTGGTTCTGACCCAAGGTCGGGTTCTTGAGGGCCCTTGGGTGAGGCTGTCTTTACCAGGCACATAGGCAGCTGTGCAGCAGGCCAGGCCCTCCATTCAGCTCCCCTGCTGCAGTTTGGAGGTGTGGGCTGCTCACAGCTGGGTTTACGTATGTGTCTGAGGTTAGCTGAAGGCCAACAGGGAGCCCTGTTTTTATGGCCCATTGACTCTTCACCTCATAGTCTAATTTTCTATTGTTCTAGCCTAAGATTGAACACACAGTGGTGCCCAAGGAGAGAGAGAGAGAGGGAGAGAGAGAGAGAGAAAATGTGCAGGCTTAGAACTGGCCACTTTCATTGCTACAATATTCTACTGGTCAAAGCAAATCATGAGGCCCAGATTCATGCAAATGGTCAGAAAATAGACTTCTTTTCCATCTTCTTCTTCTTCTTTTCCTCCTTTTCCTCCCGGGTTCAGTCCTGGAGTTTGAGGGGATAAACTCTCACTCAGGCTGTCCAACCTATGCCAAACGTCGCTGCCTCTCTTGTGCAACTTCCTCATCAGGGTAATGGGCACAGCCACATTTTTTTTTCTTTGCCTCAAAGCAGGAGACAGAACACTAAGAATAATAAAACAAGATTGGTAACACATACCTGACCCTCGAATCTGGGGGCCAAGAGCAGTTGCTTCAGTGGCTCTACATGTGTTTGTTGCTCCTGAGTTTGAGCCACGCTCTGTTCCCTGCCAGGTGGGGAAATTAAGTCTCAGAGGGTCGAGGAGTTCAGCAACATCACACAGCATGTAAGAATCACTGGCCCAGGGGTGATGACTATAAACAAATGAGAGCACGAATGAGCACAGTGGGTAAGAGGAGGCTATTTGTCAAACCACAGCAAGGAACCAGACTGAGGGAGGGAGAGGAATGCCCTCTGAGATGAAGTCAGAATGATTCCTCATGATGAAAAGATGATTTACAAGACAAAAACCCAGGTAGAGGGAGCAGCAAGTGCAAAGGCCCGAAGGCAGGGCTAAACTGAGATTATAGCGGTGGGGGTGGGAGGAGGCCAGGGTGGTGGGGGCTGAGTAAACTGGGGAGAGGAGGAGAGGAGGTCAGACAGGCAAGGGGTGAGTGAGGCGAGGTGGCAGCCATGACATGGTGAGCATATCGCTGTTTCCCAAATGGCTCTGCCTCCCTCCCGCACTGAGCTATATCCCCAGCCCTTTTTAAATTTCAATTCTGAAACAGATTTTCACTAAGTTGCTAAATTGTCCAGGGTGGAGTCAAACTTGTGATTCTCCTCCCTCAGCCTCCTCCAGGACTGTGACTACAGGTGTATATCACCATGGCTGGCTCCTCTGGGTTCTGAGATCCTTCTTAGCCACACTGGGCCAAGCCTCAGCTCCCTCCTGTCCCTGGAACACCTCTGCGCTGTCTTACCCAGGATCCTCTGCGTGGCTGCTCCTCTGCTGGGGCTCCCTCCCTCTATTCCTGCCTCCACTGGCCCCTGCTCACTTCCTTGAGGCCTTTGCCCAATATCACCTCCTCCCAGAGGCCCCCATCCATCCCTATGAGGATGCTCCCCTCCCCTGGGCCTCCTTGACTCCTTTTTTTTCCCATTAAGTTTATTGGTACATTTTAGGTATAAAATACAGTTACATTCATCATTGGGATCTTGTACCATTACATGAGTATGTTGGTTCTTATTTTTTTCCCCATTCCCCTGCCCTCCCTTCACCCCCTCCACCCTTCCCTATTTGCAAAGACTTTGTTTCCATTTTTTCCTTTTCTCATATTTTTTTTCCCCCTTCTTTCCTTTCCCCTACCCCTCCCGCTTCCCCTGCTCCTTCAGACCTTTACTTCCTTTTCCACAATATCAATTATACATTTTTAAAATTACAATGTCAAGATCTAGGAGACATTACCACAGATTTTACAGAATTTAAAAGGCTATAGAAAGCATATTACAAAAATCTTTTTTGAAATAAATCTGACAACTTCTAAGAAGTACCTTGGAAGAGAAATTAATGAAACTGACTCTAGAGGAAATATAAAATTTGAATAGCACCTATTAAAGAAAGTATATTCCTAGCTTGAAAACCTACCTATATGACAACAGGCTCATGTACATTTTAACTGATAAATTATATCAAACATTTAAAATAGAAGAAAGAAGGAACACTTCTCCCCTCATTTTAGGAAATCAACATTGTGCTAATCCTAAAACTGAATAAATAGAAGAAAAAAGTATGAACATAGATAAAAATTTGTTTAACAAAACAAACTATTAGAAGTCAGATCTGGCAGTATGTAGAAAATGGTTTTATTATAGGGATGGCAGTGTTGGTTCAGCATTGGAAGATCCAACCCCATAATCCTTGACTCCTTCTTGGCTTTATTTTCCATCATAGCCCTCATCAGCATCCATGCATTTGTCTTAGTTTTCTTCGTCGGTCCCCCCTACCAGAAAGTCAGCTGTACAAGGGCAGGGTCTTCTTTTTCTTGTTCCCCACTATGTTTCCAGTTCCCAGGTCAGTGCCTGGCATTTAGTAGGTCTACAATAAATATGTGCTAAGCGAATCTATAATATAACAAAGCAGTCTGAATGTTCTGAGAGCTCATCCCTGTGCATATGTGGAAACTTTCCACTGGCTCTTCTCATGTGTGTCTCTTAACAAGAGGCTGTACACTCTGTGTAGAGTGATCAGCAGCTTCCTGAGGGACAGGGTCGATGGCCCATCCCCCAACCCCAGAGCATGCACAATCAATATTGTTTTAACGTGTGGCTGATTGTTTTCCTCACCCACAGGCGGCAAGTGTAGGCAGTGGTCCCGATTGTGCCGGAAGCAGGGCAGGTACGTCCAGCAAACACGGGGCACCTGGAGATCGGGCCCCCCACCAGCTCACCACACCAGCCTCCTCCCTCCCCTCTAACAGCCTCCTCCCTCCCCTCTAAGAGCCTACAACGTGGTCCATACCAGAAGCCAGGAGAGGGAAGACTCAGCTGGATGGCAGCCATACTCAGACTGAACAGCCGAATCCCACCTGTCCACCCTGCCAGCCCCTGAGGGCTTCTGGCTCCCTGGGCCAGGTTAGGAGAAGTAAAGTGCTATGAGATACTTCTTCCCCTGTGGCCTCTGATTGTTCAAGGCAGGGAGGGAGGGATCTGCCCCTGAGGCGAGGTGCAAAGCAGTGGGAGGAGGCCCCACAGATTCGTCCCAGACAGCCAGGCCTGGGAAGAAAGTAAAGGAAGTGGCCTGGTGGGAGGAGGTAGGAGGACTAGGGGACAGCAGGAAGGGCAGTGACTCCAGCCTGTGAGAGGCAGGCAGGATTTGAGGCCCTTGTCAGGTTTTCTGGGTGGGTCCGTGAACCGAGTCTTGTTTGCAGTCAGCTCACCACAAATGGAGGCTCTGTCTTTGGCTCTCTGGGTCCCTCCCTACCTCAAGGGGCCTCTCATGCCTGAGTGTGGACAAGCTGCCTGCACCCCAGGCTCCATTCTCACTCCCCAGCCTACAAAGGACTGCCGCTGGCAACCTCTTAGTTTTGTGTGTGCGCCAGGAAAGTTGTGCCAACCCTGGAGTGGCCTCCGAGCGCTGTGTGGGGACCCAGCGCCCTGGAGACTGGGAGCATGGCCTGAGAAGGTGCATGGGCTCTGGTGGGCACTCCCCGAAGGCCTTGTGGGGCCAGGGCAGGGCCGACTAATGCTCAGGGCTCAGGGCATCGCCTGGCCAGGCTACAGGGTGATCACGTCACAGTCAAGCTGCCAGATCCTGCCATGGGATTGCATCATGGCACTGCAGAAACTCAGGTCACTGCCCCGAAAGGCAGTTGGGAAATCAATTTAGTGGGCCATGCGCAACATTAAAAAGCACAAGAAAAGGAAATAATAAAATAGAAAAGAAAATGTCAGAATGCATCACAAATAATTAGGATTTTATATATTAAAAAAGATGTATATTTTATTTATTCAATGTAATATGTATCATTATACATAGATAGATAGATGATAGATAGACAGGTAGATACATAGATAGTCAGTCCTCCATGCCCCAGGCTTCTAAATCTGTGGATTCAACCAACCTTGGATTGAAATCCCTGGTGGTGGCTTGGGGGGTGGAGGCCCTCTCTACTGAACATGTGCAGATTTTTTTCATTATTCCCTAAACCATACAGTTTAACAGTTATCTACATGGCCGTGACATCATGTTATGTGGTATAAGCCATCCAGACATGATCTAAAGTACACAGGAGGATGTGTGTGAACCATAGGCAAATCCTTGCTGTTTTATATAAGGGACTGGAACACCACAGCTTCCAGTCTCCTCAGAGAGTCCTGGAACCTGTCCCTTGTGCACACCTAGGAAGACTGTATGCGGAGTTTGGGGTCAGACTGACAACATCTTATCGTTTTGCTGTCTCCTCCCGGCACCGGGTGGGACAGGACCCCATGGTCCTACTGAACAGGCAACTCACCCAAGCCTTGGTGTCAGTCAAATAGACATCACTGACCACTCCAGGGTCCTTCACCACCGAGCTGGTGTGTGTGGCCCAAAGCCCCCACCAGAAGTCACATTGTTAGAAATTATCTGTTGTGACCCGAGGCCGCCCATATACAAGAGTGTTCAACATGCAGAGGCTTCCCAGAATTTAGAGTGACCTTCCAACAGCTAAGGGCAAAAGTCAGGGCATGGTTCATTCTTCACTACGGAGACTTTCTCTCATATTGCTTAATGGATTAAGAGATATTCATTCACCTGTAATCCCAGCACTCTAGGAAGTCGAGGCAGGAGGACTGAAAGTTTAATCCCAGCCTGAGCAACTCAGTGTCTTAGCAAGACCTTGCTTCAAAATAAAAAAGAGCTGGAGACGTAGCTGTGTGAAGGTCCTAGGTTCAATCGCCAGTACACCACCCTAATTAATGGTGATAGAATTCAGAATAGTAGCTGCCTCCACCTCTGTTATGTCCAGAGTGGTGGGGTGGGATTGACTGCAAAGAAGCATAAGGGAAATTTCTTGAAGGATTGAAATTTTCTGTACCCTGATAGTGGTGCAGAATACACATCCATATATACAGGTCAGAAGGGATGAACTGTACACTTAGGACTTGTACAGTTTGGAATGTGTAAGTTACATTTCCACACAAGCCACAGTGAAACTGAAAAGCAACAGGCAGTTCCATCCCAAGTGGTGCCCATTTCTGGACCTCAGGACCCCAGGCAGAGGGTGGGACTTGTGTATGATGGTGCCTCCCGACTGGGATGGAAGGGGAATCTCAGAGGTGGGCTGATGTAGTCATGTTCTGGGAATCCCTTCCAGAGTAGCCTTTCCAAAGAGCTCATTACCCTCTGATTCCCTCTGGCCAGGCCATTTTTTGCTTAATCTCAAAAGCTCAGTGGTTTAAAACAAAGAGTGAGTCCACTGGGACCCTGAATACTATCCGAGAATACCACAAGGAAGCCACTAACAGAAATGTTTCTGGCTGTCATGGTGGAAAGAAAAAGAGAACGAGGGGAGATGCACACTGGCTCTTCTCACCTCTGCCAGGAAGGGAGAGGTGGCATTTCTGCTCACCTTTGTATTGACCATTTGAATCCAACAGGGCAGGAAACTCCAGTCTTCTTGTAGGGAGGGAACAACAGTACGATATTTTAGTCACCTTTCTGTTGCTGGGACAAAATACCTGACATATAAAACTTAAAGGAGAACAGGTTTGTTTTGACTCATGGTTTGAGAGATCAGCAGACTCTGTTGCTTTACAACTGTTGCAGGGCAGAAGCATCATGGGAGGGTGTGGTGGAGGAAAGCTGCTCACCTCATGGTGGCTGAGAGGTGGAGAGGAGTGAATGACCTGAGAAAAGGTGTGCTTGGCAAAGATGCCCCCGGTGACCTACTTCCTGCAACTACTGTATTTCCCTGAAAATAAGACCTAACCTGAAAATAAGACCTAACCTGAAAATAAGCCCTAGCATGATTTTTCAGGAAGGTTGTACTATAAACCCTACCTCAAAAATAAGCCCTAGTTAAGATCATCAGCCAGATGGATCCATTTAGTATGTCTGTTGCAATGCACGATAGATATATTGAATTATAAAATAACATTAATATGTAATTAAAAATAAATAATATTATTGACATTACTACTTAAAATAATATAACTCAAGTATTTGTAAATACTCAAGTGGGCACTTTTGGACAAGAGGTAAACACCTACATAAATAGATGATCCCGAGACTTATTGCTGAATGGCCAATCAGTACAGACACAGTGTATGAATAATGATTTGATACTGAACAGACATGGTTGTATCTAACATGAATCTCCACAATTCAATATATCATATGTTGTAACAGACATACTTAAAGCACTTACATGAAATAAAATGTTTTCTGAATTTTGGTGCCTGCAATTTTTTTGCTGCTTTTGTGTGAACTGTCATTCTTAACTGTCATCATTTTTGTTACCACTCCTCTCTCATAAGTCTTCCGTTAACACTTGATTTAATGGAAACTTTGTGAAGCCCCCAGCCTGCAAGAGGTCATGACTTGGGTGAAGAATTTATGGGATAAAATAACTGACAGCTGTGTTGCTGATGCACTACAAGCAGGCTACGTGGACGAGAAGTGCTCATTTAAGGAGAGCTCTATTGCTGGACGTGAGAGATTGGGGTCAATGGTTCAACAGGAAATGGAGTTGCAAGAAATTCAGGCCAGAATTTGGGGTTTGGAGAGTTATGGCGATATTCCAGAAGAAGATGACATGACTCTATTTGAATAAATGTAGATTTTTGTACATGAATAAATGTAGAATGCTGTGCATAAAAAAGATATCCCCTGAAAATAAGCCCGACTGTATCCTTTGGAACAAAAATATATAAGACCCGATTTTATTTTGGGGGAAATATGGTAGGCCCATCGCCTTCCAATGCCATTACATTATCATCTCATCTGTGGATTAACCCACTGACAATGTTAGAGGCTTTGTTATCCATCAGTTCCCACAAGCCAGTCAGAAACCAAGCCTACAACACAATGAGCCTTTGGAGGGAACATTTGGATCCCAATCATGACATACAGTTTACTACAAAGGATATTCTCTCATGTAGCAAGAATTCTGTATTCAGCTGCAGGAGACACAAGTTAAACAGTAGTGTCTGGAAGAGGTGATTCATTGCTCTCTCACATAACAGAACTGGAAGTATGTGTTCCAAGGCTGGGGAGTGGGTTTCTTTTTTTTTTTTTTTTTTTT